CTGATTCTGCTCCTCCTAAGGAGGTGGTTAGGCCATTGTGGTCCCCACCCTTTAGTGGTTTCATTAAACTTAATTTTGATGGCAGCAGTGATAGTAATCCAGGTCCTTCTGGCATTGGAGGAGTTTTCAGGAACGAAGAAGGAAATGTCATTGCACTATTCTCAAGCTCAATTGGTGAAGGGGATTCCTTAAGAGTTGAAATTGTGGCTGTTATGGAAGGGATCCAAAAGTTTAAAGAGCTGAATATCAGGTAGTTGGTGATAGAAGGTGATTCAAAGCTTGTAATTAGCTGGCTTCAAGAAAAGGAGGAAGAGGGATGGTGGTGCTACATTCACAAAAAGAGAAAAGCTGTTAATTTTCTGCAAGGGGTAGAGGTGTCTTGTAATTGGCTTAAAAGAGACGCAAATTCTGTTGCTGATACACTTGCTAAACAAGGGGTGGGAAGGAATGAGTTATTTTGGGCTGTTCTGTATCTTCTTTTTGGGGAGAGCTAAGAGTGTTTATCCTTTCCCCTTCTTTGTACTAAATTTCTTCTTTTAATAAAATTGGTTCTGTTATTGATAAAAAAAAAAAAGAATTTAAGTAAGAACAGAATGAGTCACATTTATATCAAGTTGAAGCTATATGACATCTATGCTTCAACTTGAGGGGGAGTGCTAGAATGGTAGAGAAGAGGAAGAGTTAGGAGGGGACAGTGGAGGAAAAGGGGATAATTGCCTTGTAAAGGAGAAAGAAGGGGGGAAAGGAGCAGGGAATGAGGGAGGGGGAAACGGGGGTGTAGGAAGGAAGAGTTGGGGTGGGGTTAATACTAGGAAAGATATAAACTTTTCCTTTAGAAGAAAACAGAGAAGGGGGAGGGAAGAAAGCGGAAGGGGAGGGCTCTGGGGAGGAAACTGAGGATGATCCGATGATAGATGAAGTTCATAAGATAGAGGAGAATTGTGACATTGAAAAAGTGATAAATAAGGAAGTGGAAGTCAGCAGAAGTCTGGGTTGTTCTTCTTAGGTGGAGAGGAGTTTGTGAAGGAAGCATTTAGGTCCATGGAAGAAAGAAATGAGGAGAATGATAATAAAGAGGACCTAGTGGGTGACTGTAACTCAAGTAATTTGGTAATTCAAGGGATGAAAGAACCAATTGGAGGATGCAAGAATGGAATCAAGGAAAAGGAAGAAGAATTGGAGGGGTGGAGGGGTCGGATAGAGGCCAGAAACTTGCTGGAAAATTGAAAGAAGCTATGGGAACCTTAAACACAGTTACAAGATGCAGACCTCAGAAGAATAGAAAAAGTCGACAGAAGATAGCAGCGTCAAAGGTATTTGCAAGGATAAAAGGAGCTCCGTTTGGCATTGGGCCTAACAAGATAGTAAGAAAACATAAAAAATGTAGTCAGAAGACAACAAGAAATTTGCATCCAAAATTCGAACAAAAAGACTGATTCAGTTGGAGTCAATTAGGGGTTGGGTTTTTGTTTTGGGTCTTTTGTTGGGTGACGGGTGTGGGTGCTTGGGGTCTTGTAAGGGTGTTGGTTTTTGTTTTTTGATGATTGGGGTTGTTTCTAACCTTTTTTGTATTGTTTATGTGTATTTTTTGATAGGGGTTGGCCATGTTGGGTTGGTTTGGGCTGGCTGGTTTTGTTTCATCTTTGTTGGGTGTTTCTTTCTCCTTGGGTGATTGCTTATCACTTTTCCTTGTATCTTCTTTTTGTTTAATAAAATTTTTCTTTATCTTCAAAAAAATGAGTAACATAACTATTCTGGTCATTATAATATAAGGTTATATTGGTCGAGGCATGCTTGTAATTTACTGTTCTATCCAATAAGTTATACAATGGCTCACTCCTGTTGTGGGTTCTTGAACTTCACAAGGGCACTCAATCTTCATTGGTGCTTCCCCTTCTCTATTAAAGATCTTTTGCAAGAATGGGGCATCTTGGGTTTGTCCAGAAAAGGGAAAGTTTTCTGGTGAGCAATTCCTATGGCAGTTTTGTGGGCCATTTGGGGGTGGGTTTTTTTTTTTTTTTTTGGGAGGGGGAGACGGGGAGGGGGGCTAATGGCACATACTGGTACAGCATCTCATTGTACAGGTCTTTTGATTTAATGATAAGTATACTTTACCTTCTTCAAAAAAAAAAAATATTACAGTATGGTAGCATGGGAGCTACTTGGTGCCTGCCCATTTAAAAATAGAGGAGTCATTTGGGCACATCCCATTTTTGATAAGCACAGCTGTAATCATTGTCCAAAAGTGGTAGAATGAGAGCTACCACTCCATAACACTCCTATGTATTGATCTTCATCATAATAAAAAGTGGTTTCTTTGTTTTCCACCCAGGATGTGTCCTGTCCATTCAAAAATAGGATGTGCCCAAATCAGTACTCTAAAAATATCTCCAAGATTTTCATCTAGGAGTTGTTTACAGTTAAATGAAGATCAATACATAGGAGTGTTTAAAAATGTACTCTAAAAATGTTTTTTGTGCAATAGTTTTCTATTATTTCCTATGAATAATACTGAAATTTCATCCCTTGCCTGAAACTTCCTGGCATCTATGTTTGTGAAAGGGATGGTTTCCTTGTCTTGGTTATACATAATAAGCAAGTTCTACTTGTGCTTGAGCATTGTGTGGCTGATGTGCAAGGTTTAAAATGTCAATACCGGTGGAAATATTGGTCGTCCAGATATAGGAAACATGTCGGAAATGTCAGAAATATCATATGGAAATATTGTAAAAATTATAGACATAGTAGAAACACTATAAAATATGCAAAAATATAGAATGATATTTTATGAAATGATATAGGAAGCATTGACACACCATTTTAAATTATTTTGTTGTTCCAAATCATTAAACAAAGCTCAGAAACTAAGGTTATACACAAAAGAAAACGTTCTGAAGTTGTCTTGTAAACTTTAAGATTCAAAACCACATGATAGAATGAGTTAAAGGAAAGTTAAACTCATAGAAAATGTAAATGGTTCTAATAGATCAACCAAAGAATCTATTACAGAAATAAAAAACTAATATTTAACTTCATGTTTGAAATGAATATTGAGCTGTCTCAAAGTGATAATCATGTAAGTTAGGCGGGTAATAGCATTGCTACTCCACATATCTACAATATTGTCACCAGCTTATATTATAATCAAGTTTTGAAGTATTGGAAACACAAGTGTATCGGAAAGGCAATTTTAAGAAACGTACCGGGATGTGCTTTGGATATGCATAGATATGGACAAAAAACTAGGATACGCACGGATACGCTATGAAACTCAAATAAATCCTAAAAAATATAGTAATAACAATAAAGTACAAGGTATATATGACCATAAATAAGTTAAAAACCTTACTTTAATGGTTCACATGAAGTATGAGAGATCAGGATATAATCAGTAACTGTTGAAAAATAATGGAAAAACTAAAATGTGTGCATATATACCTTGGTTTTTAGAAAATCAAAATAATTTGTCTTAATATTTGTTAATATATAAATTTTAATAATCAATTTTAGCATTTATTGACAAACATCTTGGGGTGATCATCTTGGTCCGACCCAACTCAGAAATTCCAGGTTTGGAGTTGGGTTTCATGTTCAGGCTTGGCCCAATCCATATCTTTAAATAAATAAATAAATAAATATATATATTATAATATGACACTTATAATATATATTATGTATAACATTTTCTATTATATAAATATATAATGCATAAAAAAAATTTATATGCATATTTTATGTTATTTAATATAAAATATTATATATAATATTTTATACATAAAAGGCTTGGGTGTGATGTGACCCATAATCACCCCAATAAGCATCCACTAAAAAGAAAAAAATTATTTAAGGATGAAAATGGATAACATTTGAACACCAAAATTGATTTGGGTGTAGTGGTAGACTCATGGGCATTGTAAACGTGTGACCAAGGTTCGAATCTTCTTATGTCTACTTTTAGCTTTTACACCTAAGATTATGTGCATTAGGCATTAGAATGGCGTGCCAATTTCAAAATTCAAATTCAAACTTGTCTTAAAATTAAGAGAGAGAGAGGGAAGGAGTAATTAATGTAATTATAGTAATTAATGAGAGAGAGGGACAGAAATTAATTAGAAGGATTAGCAATAAAAGGAAGATTAATGAGAGGGAGAGTAATTAATTTGCAATGTATCGACCGGTACATTAGAGTATCGGCTCGTACTGGGTCTATATTGGCCAATACAGACCCGAAATGGCCCGATATGGTCTTGAATCGGTCCATACAGGTGAAAAGGAATGAGACAGTTGGTTTCTATATGTTCCATGTATCAGGCATTAAACAGAACGATACGTATCGGCCGATACGGTCTGATACGTTGCGAAATTTTGAACCTTGATTATAATACTATCTCTTGTAGTCATATGGTACTTGCTGGTAGTGTTCACCGTGGAATATGTCGATTCCAGTAAAATTTCGTGTCGATAGCCATGGAAATGGAAATCTGTTGTGGAAATATTAGGGAATTTAGGGGCATTTTGTAAATATGTGGAGTATTAGGGAAATGGAAATATGTCATGGAAAGAAGTTCAAATGGATATCCAGTGGCTTAGAAGTGAGATTACAGCGGGTTAAAAGGAGTACTAACTCCTTTGCTGATTCTCTAGCTAGACAGGGGGTGGGAAGGGTTCAATCTTTGTGGGATTGCTTGTAATTTTGTATGCTTGTTGTCTTTGGGGAGGGCTAAGAGAGTTTACCTCTTTCTTGAATGCTGTAATTGTTGATTTTTCTAATATAAAGTTTCTGTTATTGATAAAAAGGGGGACATTTTAAACCATGTTGATGTGTACCTTTCATTCCATGCCTTATTTTATGAGTTCAACAAATGCATGATTCAATTCTTTTGATCTGTATTTCTTTGCTAAGAACTGATAACAGACACGTTCAGCATTTAATTAGTCAAGGTGGGTGCAAGCTATGTGTGACAGCTACTAAGAAAGTCATCTTTGATGTGATTTTTCAGGTTCCTTTGGAGGGGTTTAAAGCACTTCAAGGTATCTCTGGTCCTCAACGCTTTCAGATTCACAAGGCCTATGGTGCTCCAGAGAGGCTACCATCGGCTCATACCTGGTTAGTGTTTAAAATGGCTTGAATAACTATATAAACATAAAATAATTCTTGGTTTTGTGACAGCTAATGGTTGTTAACTACTAAGGTACTTATGTTTAATATACTTCCCTTCAGCTTCAACCAACTAGACCTTCCTGAGTACTCCTCCAAGGAACAGCTTCAAGAACGCTTGTTGCTTGCCATTCATGAAGCCAGTGAAGGTTTTGGATTTGGTTGATTTAAGTCTCTTTAGCTCAACCTTATCCTCTGATGCCAGCAACCTCCCTTTAAATTGCTGTGTACAGGTTAGGAACTCATATTTTCCCTTAACTGGAGTAATTTGTGATTATCATCCTTTTTATTACTTGCATATTTGTATACCATTTGGCTGTTTAATTTGTTTTTGAGACTGGTAAAAATGTTTTACCATAAAGGACTTGGGTGGGTGGAAATAATAAGAAATGATTTAAGTGCCCATAATTTGATGGAACGGAATGGAGATACAGGATTCATGTAGCTGACCCCATACTTGGGAGTTGGGACAAGGCTTAGATGATGATGATGACACTGAAAAAATGTTTTGGTGTCACCTTCTGAATTCACAGTTTTTATTGGTTATGATACGTTGGTTATGTAACCAGGACACATGCAAAGGGGTTTTGGTAGTTTCTGCACTGTTTTTTTTTTTTTAACTTGTATATGACCTCATAATAATGTGCTTCAACATTTCATTTTTTTTATTGGCACTGTTGCCAACTTTATTGGTTACGAAGTTAAAAAACACTATTTATATAGGTGATTTCCTCTTAATTTAGGCTGGCCATTGCTTCCTAACACCTACAAAATATTCTGGAGTTTACAAGGTCCCCCCCCNCAAGTACAGCTGTTCCCCGTTTCCCCGTTAAAACCTTCCTTTGCTAAGGAGAGTGTTTACTGATCTGTATTCCCATCTGAAAGTAACAAGGAGTTTCCTTGCTGTGTTTAATTTCCATCTAGTGTTCCAATGATGTCAGGTTCCTCTTCTGTTGTTTTTTAACCACCCCACCACCACTTTCAACATTACATGTTTAATGGTTGATGGATTCACATCGGTGTTTGACAGTGGATCTCATGGCACTTTTGATGTAGTTTTGCCTTATAACAGATTTGTTCATCTTTATTCCTCTTCTGCTTATCTACACATAGAGGTGTACATTACTGCCCTTAGTGCACTTGCCCAGCCTATTGGAGGTGACGTTTGGGTTGTCCCAGGAACTTTATGGGTTGTTTGAATTTATGATTTAACCATGGTATGTAAATGGTCTGGGGTTGCATTTGACATTTTCAATATGAAATCTTCATTACCTTTTCTCAAAAAAATTTCCCAATGCAATTGCTTAGCTTGTATTTCCTGGCTTTTTATTTGGCTGGTTAGGCACTTTATCTCCTTGGGTCAACAGTTGTGCACAGGATTATCTTGGCCTAAGCCTGGGCCTACAAATATGCATCAGAGGTTTGTGATGTCTGGTGTTGTTGGATTGCATAATGCAGTTTTTCGGAATATATGTTTTAGTTTCTTTGTGCATAGCATTTTGCAATTGTTCAGTTTGGCATTGGAAATTTGAGAATGGAATTGCTCTGCCTGGACTATTTATCTACAAGTCTACAAATACATGGGTGATTACATATATATGATATATGTATAAATCAATTTTCTAACTGCAATTGCCGGTTTCTGCAGACATTAAGCTATTGATCCAGGCAAATGAAAATGATTTAGTAATACTGGAATTCTGAGGCAGAGAATGCAAATGTAGTTCGGAATTTTGGTCTGTAAGCTTCTGTGCCACAAGTTTTAATGTGGGAAGCTTCTATAGTTTCTAAAGAGTAAATATGGTTTTGCTTTGGATCAAATGACTAACGGCGATGTCAACAGCACAGGGACTGATTTGTTAAGCTTTTCACAATTTCAACAGATTGGGAAGCATATTTTTGTGAGTAAATCCCTGGAAATTTCTGTTTACCCTTCATTTCTTATATCTTTCTTGCAGCGAATCGGCTTCTGGATCGATCATTCTGATCCGCCCTGGGGTTTTTTCTCTTTCCAGTTACCCTTGGTTTTTAAGGTTGGTAACTAAGATTGTGGATGTTGGCAGCTGGTGAAATCAATAATTGGTGGATTAATAGTCTTGTCTTGCCCTTTTTTTTAAAAAAAAAATTAACTTTCCTGGAAATCATATTTTTCTGGATGAATTAGATCCTATGTTATATGTTGGTTGGACTTGGACCCATTCAAATGGTGCTAACACAGTGATTAATGAAGACTTGTACAGGCACACTTTTTTTTTTTTGTAATCTGTACAAGTTGCATTGATTATATTTGCAATATATCCTGAAACTCCCAGAGACTAGAGATTTAATTTGAATATTTTTTATATTTTGTACATGGGAAAGTTACAGAGCATATGAGTCACTAATTGTGAACCTGTTGTGTATGTAACATGCTTGTGTGAGTAGCATGGGCTGTCGTTTCTCGTGCAATTTACTTGATCAAGTTATGTTGTAGTTGTATAGAACAAATCTTTGTTATCAACATGGTCCTTTTGATGAGGTTATTAATAGCCAATTGGATTTCTATAAAAGTCTGGAAATATTTCAAAGATCTCAAAAAGATAATCTATGGCCCTATAGGAACGTGTGTCATTGGTTACTGCTAATCATTGCCCATAACGCCGATGCCATCAGTGGATTTAATCCAAATTTATCTGTTTTTATTTGGAGTTGCATCAAATCTTGTTCAAATTCATGGCTGCAGTGCATTTTTTTGAATGTCTGATTAAAAGTTATAACTTAGAACTGCTAATTCTGTTAATAGGTCACTTGTAAAACACCCAATGGAGGTTGATGCATCGTCCGGAACTTTGTAATTTTCTTTTTGAAGATTTTCAATGGGCAGAAGTTGGAGAAACGTGCTCAACAGCACAAATGGATTTTTATGATGACCTATTTTGTTTCCAACCCTTTGGTTGCAGAATCGGAATTCTGTTCCTATTTCTGGTGGAATGACATTTTCCTATTTTGGAGAATGGTCATTCCCTCCCCCTCCATTGGGAATGAGATCCCATTCCAATTGATTCTAATTTTGAATCTGATTCCTGTCTGAATGAAACAGGTTATGAGAATAGACCATTTCGATTCCGATTCTGATTCTGAACCAAATGGGCCCTTAGTTTCTTAACTAAATTGGTTGTGGGTGAGTTTAAATAGCTCAAAATTTAATTTAATTTTTTAAAAATTTAAAAATTACAAAATTATAATCTTAACTAAATTGGTTGTGGGTGAGCTTAAATAGCCCAATATTTAATTTTATTTTTAAAAATTCAAAAAGATTACAAAATTCTAAAAGGTTTGGAAGCAATATAGGGAACAAACTGCATTTTAGGCCTCGTTCTCTTTTCGGTAAGTTACTTCCCTAGGTAAATGCAGTTGCCTGGGTAAGTTTTCCCTGGGAAAGATTTACCCGGGTAAGTGCATTTACCCATTTTCTTGTATTTTTCAGTTAAATAAAACAATGATTATTTTAGCTATGATAATTCATTATTAAAAGGGGCATTTTTGTCCCATTCAAGTGTTAGTGACTTTTCCCCTAGGTGGGAAAGTTATTTATCCACCTAGGAGATGGATACCCAGGAAAATAAACTTTCCCTGGTCCCCACATAAATTTGAAAAAAGAACATGAAATTCTTGGTCAATGGGATCATTGACCAACTTTCCCCCTATAATTTTAAGGGAGAGATTTATCGAAAAGACTCAAAGACATAATACTAGAAAAAGTTGTAACCGATCAACCAGTATCACAAACATGGTAACCGATTAGGTGGTTATCGGTATCATGTCATTCCGGCAGCATATGCCACATCCAACAAATGCAGGTCTTAATTTTTTTTTTTCGAAAATGAATGCAGGTCTTAATTTGATACAAAGCATGTGTTGGCGGAATGATTTATCATTTATGTTTGAAATAGAAAGATACATTGATTTGTTGTTAGATCTACAATGTTTTTGCTTGTAAATCTGTAATAATAGATTCATGGGTTTCCTAAAAAATCATAAATAGTAATTTATTTAAAATAGTTTTGATGTCCGGAGAGAACTATAAGAAGAATCCATAAAATCTATTGATCCATCAATATGTCAAAGTGATTTTTTTTAATTTTTAATAAGAAATTAATTATTTTAATAATTAAAATTTAAAAACATCGAATAAGCTTCGAAGCTGACTTCTTATGGGGAAAGGACAAGGAGAAAAAAAAAAGGCCTTCCTTTGGCCTGATGTAACAAAATTTTGATGCCCGGGATTCTAGGAATTCGAGATGTGGAAAAAACAAATGCAAAATATAGACTGGATGTTATGGGACTGGAGATATGGAAAAATCAGAAGGAAGAAATACATAAAGGATAAAGACCTATTGGAATTAAATTAAAACCCAATAAAAATGGATCTTGGGCTTGAAAAGGTATCTTGTATCACAAGGACATAATTAAGATATAGATTGCTAAATTGGGGCCCAATTATTAACAAGGTTAACCCGGAGGATCTCACGGTGAGAAAATATTAAACATGAAAGTAAATGACAATCTATGGGAGACCCAATCTGCAATCTCTAGAGGGATGGGTCCCAAGAGAAATAAAACTCATCTTAATTCCTAAGACCCAAGAGGAGGATAAAGTCCAATGGAATTTGAATCCAATTAGATCAATGTACAAGACCCTAATAGCAAATAGCAAATAGCTCTTTTGAGTAATGGCATAAAAAATGTGGAAAAGAATAAAGAAAAGTTGTATTCTGCCCCAAATCAAGTTATTTATGTGGCTAACCGTGGAAAATAAGCTCCCAACCAAGAAAAAAAGCAATGGAAATTGATAGAGAGAGCCCCCTTTGTGGCCAACTAGAAGGCACAGACCATATCCTAAAGGAATGACAAGTGGCAAAGCAAATTTGGATGACCATCGAGGAAGCTACTCAATTTCTAATGAATCACAATGATGCTATAATGTCCTAGCTTTAGAGGGCAGAAGAGCTAAAATTCATAAAGCTTGGAAAAACTTATGGGAAAAAATTTGCTTCCTATTATGGTGTACTTGGAAAAATAGATGTAAAGGAATATTTCAAAATGTTGATGATGACCCAACAAAGACTTTGGAAAACGCAAGGAGGGCTATTAATGAATTTACAGAAGCCAACAAAAGGCCTCTGGATTTCATACTTTCACATTTGGAGAGAAAGAAATCAAGCGGCTGATTGGCTTGCTAACATGGGAAAGACTTACTTCTTCAATTTGTCTTTTTAGGTTTTCAATGGACAGACTTTCTTATATTTGTAGTATATATGGACTTCTGGGGTAGATCTATGCTTCATTAGGCTTTTCTTCCCCTTTTATAAAAAAATTAATTAAGATTATATAATTCTGTAATTATTTATTATACTTTAACTTATAAGAAATAATGGAATATTTATTAATTGTGGGATAAAAATATATTATTTACAATTAATAAGTTATATTGCGATTAACTATCGTATTAAGAATTTAAGATTAAGTTGCTTATTTTTTGGTAGTATATAAAAGTAAAAGTAACAAAATATAGAATAATTGATTTAGTAACTAAAATATAATTGTGCCTTGGACTCTTGGGTTCATGATTCTTGTGCACTAGACCTAATATATTTTTAAATTAATTATATATTTTTATAATTATTGATTAATAGTTAAACTTAAAAAATAATAACACATTAATGGCTTTAAACATGTAATAATTTGAAAAAACTATAGTGTCTTGGACTCATTTCTTTTCTTCATATAAACTATTAAGATATATTATTTTTAATTCTTATGTTTGTACACTATTCATAGTCATTTCAACCTTAAGTTTAGTATTATTAGTTTATGCATCAGATTCATAAGAATTTAATTTTCTTAATGTTTCAATGTATATTTAAATATCTCTACTTTATTCATGCATATTCGAAGCGTATTATAATACATATCCATTCCAACCTTATCAATACACCTTGCTATACCGATATCTAAAATCTTAGGCTAAGTTTAGAAAATACACATACAAATATGTAGAGTGCAAATACAGGTTTAGAATTATAAAATACAAGATTTTGCACTCCACATATATGTATTTATACACTTCCCAAAACTAGTAAAAGTGTATGCCGCTACACACGTGGCAATATCAAATGATGATAATGATAATAGTCAGCGACCAAATGACCTTATTGGTTGAACCATTAACCTATTTAACCAAGAATATGGACCATGATTAAGACATTAATTCATTTTTTTCTTTGTATTTTAGCCATTTCTATCTTTACTAACAATAATTTTTATTTTTCAAACATATTTTTGTTTAATATTAAGAATATATAATATTAATGCATGTTCAAAATTTTCTATAAAATTTATAAAAAATTTTATATTTATATTTTTTATTATTTAATTTATGAGATAATAAAAATTAGTTATTTACCAAGAGGAAATGCAATTCCAACATATTGTTTGGATATTATTTTTAATATTGTGGTAGTATCAATTATATATATATATTTTATATATAATATATATGTTATTTAGTATTTATTTATAAATATGTTATTTATATTGCATTTTTGTAAACTTCTTATATGATGAAAATAGTTGAAAAATACTTATATTTTTTTGTTTTTCTTTATTTGAATTATTATATTTTCTTTTCTTTTAATAATTTATTATTATTTTTAAATTAAATCGAATCGTATCAGATTCGAATATCCAACATCTTGATCGGATTCAGATCCGAATCAATATTTATGAGATCCGATCAGATCTTTGGATCGAATCGAATTCGAATGTACCCCGATTCAAACCCGATTCAATCGGTTTGCATCCCTATAAAATCACTTGCCTACAATGACCTAGATAATTAAATCATTGAACCATTTGACATGGTTAGTGGGGTCATGTGTTAGACATTAATGCTCTTTATTGTTTATCCCATTTCTATCATTAATAAAAATAATTCTCATTAATCACACTTTTTTTATATGATGAATATATAATATTATAGAATGTACTCAAAATTATCTACGAATTTCTACATTTTCTATAATTTTATGTATTTTATTATTTAATAAATAACATCATGTGTTGATCCATTTGACATGTATAGTTGAACCACTAACCCACCACTTGGATGGAAAAACTATTTTTTCTTTTTTGGTTGATTTTAAATCATGTATTACATTTTCATCATCAATAAATGTAATTCTTATTTTTGCATTTATTTCTGCATGTGGCAATATCAAATGATGTTGATGATAACCAGTAACCAAAGGACCTTATTGGTTGAACCGTTAGCCTATTTAACTAGGAAAATGCTATGATTAAGACATTAATTCATTTTTTTCATTGTATTTTAACCATTTCTATCTTTACTAGCAATAATTCTCATATTTTTAAACATATTTTTGTTTAATATGAAGAATATATAATATTAATGTACGTTCAGTTTTTTATAAAATTTATAAAAAAAT